TTTCACCGTGTAAATCATCTGAAACTGTTTGTTAAAATGCGACAACGAGGGGTTCCTAGGTACATTCTGAGAATCCTAGTCTACTGGTATGCTAACCAGGATATGCAGGTGAGATGGGGTAGTAGATTTTCTGCTCCTTTTGGTGCTACTAATGGAGTAAAGCAAGGCGTGGTACTCTCTCCTGTGCTTTTCAACTTCTACATGGATGAACTGTCACAGCAGTTAAATAATTGCAGAACTGGTTGTATGATTGGATCAACCCTGGTCAACCGTCTTATGTATGCTGACGATCTTGTCGTCCTGAGTCCTAGTAGTGTGGGATTACAGGAACTGCTGGATATTTGCACAAAGTATGGGGTGGATTTCATGACCTGTAGAACAAAAGAAGATAAAGGGTTTCAGTTTCCCCAATTTGAATTATGTGGTAATGTTTTGCCTGTGACGGACAAATATAAATATTTGGGGCACTTTATTAATGATGAATTGGCTGATGATGATGATATTGATCGGCAATGTCGTAGAATGCATGCTCAGGCCAATATGTTAGTGCGTAGGTTTAGTATGTGCACTAATGCAGTTAAAAAGACAATCTTTAAAGTATACTGTACTCAATTATAAACAGCTCATTTGTGGTCTTCCTATAAACAAACAAGTCTTAGGCATCGTAATGCAGCATATAATGATTGTCTGAGAATATTACTAAAGAGGCCTCGTTGGGAAAGTGCAAGCAGCTTGTTTGTCTCTTCTGGGATCGGTACATCCCATCCTATGTTGAGGAACTTGATGCTTAAGTTTATTTGTCGAGTTAATCAATGTGAAAATGTTATTATTAAGTGCTTGGTTAATGTTGACCGTAGTACCACACGCTGTCAGTCTGGTATAGGTGTCATTATTGGTATAGGTGTTTATGTTGACTTCCTTGTATCTTTGTCTTTTCTTGTGTAGTTTTTTATCTTATGTTTTTATTGTCTCTGGACCTTGAGTCTGTTAATAAAGTTGATTGTTTCATTGATTGATATACACATACACTCACACACGCACACACACACACACACACACACACACACACACACACACACACACACACACACACTTATATTCATCCATCAATTTTCATCCGCTTATCTGAGTCGGGTCGCGGGGGCAGTAGCCATAAGGCGAGAGGCCCAGACTTCCCTCTCTCCAGCCACTTGGGCCAGCTCCTCCAGGGGAATCCCAAGGCGTTCCCTGGCCAGGTGAGAGACAAAGTATCTCCAGCGTGTCCTGGGTCTACCTTTAGGTCTGCTTCCGGTTGGACATCCCCGGAAAACCTCACCAGGGAAGGATCCAGGAGTTATCCTGACCAGATTCCCTAGCCACCTCAACTGGCTCCTCTCGTTGTGGAGGAGCAGTGGGTCTACTCCGACCCCCTCCCGGATGACTGCGCTTCTCACCCTATCTCTAAGGGAGAGCCCAGACACCCTGCGGAGAAAACTCATTTCGGCCGCTTGTATCCGCGATCTCGTTCTTTCGGTCACTACCCAAAGCTCATGACCATAGGTGAGGGTAGGAACGTAGATCGACCGGTAAATCGAGAGCTTTGCCTTCTGACGCAGCTCTCTCTTCATCACGACAGACCGGTACAACGCCCGCATCACTGCAGATGCAGCACCAATCCGCCTATCGATCTCAGGCTCCAGTTTTCCTTCACTCGTGAACAAGACCCTGAGATACTTTAACTCCTCCACTTGGGGCAGGACCTCATCCCTGACCCGGAGAAGGCATTCTACCCTTTTCTGAATCAAGACCATGGTCTCAGATTTAGAGGAGCTGATTCTCATCTCAGCTGCTTCACACTCGGCTCTGCTCCAGTGAAAGCTGAAGATCACGTTCTGATGAAGCCACCAGGACCACATCATCTGCAAAAAGCAGAGACCTGATCCTCAGGCCACCAAAATGGATGCCCTCCACACCTTGGCTGCACCTAGAAATCCTGTCCATAAAGGTTATGAACAGAATCGGTGACAACGGGCAGCCTTGGCAGAGTCCAACTCTCACTGGGAACAAGCCCGACTTACTGCCGGTATTGGTACAGGATCTGCTCGGGTGCCAGATCGGCCCGGGGTCCTTCAACTGCCGATGACGTGAAAGCACGGCAAGTCCACTCGGACAAAATACACAACACATGTTTATACTGTTCTTTCACTCAGGTTTTGGAAAGAATTTAGCAGTTTCGTTATTAAAATAATGTTTCTTACCACGTAAATTTGTGTTTCTAATGGTATTTGTAAAATAAAACACCATAATGTATTCATTTAGTAAAGAATGTGTAACTACATAAAATGAAGATCAGTCTGTGCCAAAATATTTTCTAAATTTAATTTACGTAATTAGCACTTCTGTTGGTTTTTACGAATGTTGAACTCCTCTTTATGTTTTGTTAGTTATGTTTTATGTTTAATATTTTAATTCATTTCATCAAAATTTCAGTTGATCAAGGTCTCCATTTATCAGTTGATATTTTTGCTTTAATTTCACATTTTCTTTGGCAATATGAATGTAATTGCCCAAAAATATATTTCCATTTCAATAAATGCATTTCAGTATAATCACAATTTATTTATGTTGTTCTGCCTGGGAGTATTTATTGGACCAAAAATCAGTTATATATATATATATATATATATATATATATATATATATATATATATATATATATATATATATATATATATATATATATATATATAACTACATCTTTTTATTGAATAAGGCAATGACCAACCAACATTGAACATTCAACATTATACTCGAAGAATTCCATAACTATTAAAATACACCACCTAAGGTTGCAAATTTCCAAATGTATTTGTATACAGTTAAAAGCATTAAAAAAATCAATGACTGAAAAAAATAGTGTAAATTTCTTCATAGTTCAAATTTTATTTAAATCAAAAACACAAACACTGGAGCAAAAGAAAGCACAAGTAAGTAACAAATAAGAGCAAAGGTCCAAAACAGAGGATCCCAGGGTCTGACTGCTCCACTCTGCAAATAAGTCGTAGATGAGATGCAGGATGGGGAGCTTTCTAATTCATAATTTGTAAGAATGTAATCGGTGATATTTGCATTAGCATTCCTATGGGTTTTTCCTTGTATATTAGCACTGCTCTAACCACTCGCCTTTGTGATTAGAAAATCTCCTTTTGTCACATCGCAATTTAATTGCACATGCAATTCAGTTCAGCCCTAATATATTTGCAGCTCTATGCTAAAAGTGCATTTTGAAAGAGTCGCTAAAAATCAACATTAGGTCACAATCATACTTACTATTAATTGTGTAACGTTTAGATGCCTTTCGAATGGTGGCCTTTGTGCTCTCAGGATGTTGAGAGGCGATGGTAATGGGCTCGACACACGGGAGGCGACAAACGACCGCGATCAGCGAAATTTGTCGCTGTCGCTTTTATTACCTGTCACACGGGAGGCGATCCGCGGCAGCAGCCAGCGGCAAAGCTGTCTACGCGTTCTGTTCCATGGCGAAATCGAAACTTACGTTATTTTGTTTGGCTGTGTCAGGTTGGAGGGAATTAAGGTTATTTAAGCGGTTCAGAGTTAAAAAAGTGGTAGATATGATGTTTCACAAGGTGCTGCTAGAGTTATGTGAAATCTTACTTCTGATTTTACTATATAAAACATAATAATAATCAACTTCTCCTTCATGTTTGCTCGGAGATGTACGGAGCATCCTGTCCGCTCATTGGTCAGTGAATGAAACCTCCGTTGATTGGTCCTCGTCTGAGCGACAGCGGTGAAAAGTTGAAAATGTTTCAACTTTCTGGGATCGCGTCGCTGGGTCGCCTGTGCACGACACGTGCACGAGCGCAAAATTTCACACGCGCGTTTTTCACGTTTCGCTTAGTAGGAGGGAGACCCGCGATTATCGCTTTGTCGCGCATGTCTCATTGAAAATGAATGGAGGAGAGGCGATGTTGCCTCCCGTGTGTCGAGCCCATAAGGCTGTGATAAGTTCCTTTTTAAAGGTAATGATGGATTTCTTTGTAAAGTTGTCCATCTTTCCAAACAGAAAAAATTGTCTGGACCAACGTAACGTGATAACGTAACTTCCGTAAGCTTCATGTTCAGCTAATCAACTACTTTGACGTCATCGGCAGTCGAAGGACCCCGAGCCAATCTGGCACCCGAGCAGATCCTGTACCGACACCGGCAATGCGGACCAAGCCCTGACACTGGTCATACAGGGACCTAACAGCTTGTATCAGAGGGCCTGGTACCCCATACTCCCGGAGTAGCCCCCACAGGGCCCTCCGAGGGACGCGGTCAAATGCCTTCTTGCCACAGAGGAGCTTTTTAACCACCTCAGTGATCTCAGCACCAGAGATTTGCTGACACACACACACACGCGCGCGTGTGTGTGTGTGTGTGTGTGTGTGTGTGTAGGTGTTATTGGTCTGTAAAAATGTTGTAATTACATTTGCCAATTGGATAGTCATGCATCCATGCAATATATAACACACACTGCCATTCCTCAGAAGTAGAAAACCACAATCCATCCAAACCTGATCATGTTCACCTACGGTTGTTTTGGAGAGGAAGAGTTGAGTACTATGCTCGTAGTAGCAGGTCAGATTCTACAGAAATTATGCTTTTCTCTAATATGACAATTTAATAGAAGTTGGTTCGAATTCCCCAACATCTTTTTCTGCAAGATGGAAAGTTAAACCAACCACATCAGAAACGATTCTGATTCACACCAGACCAGATCAGATGAGAGATTTTTAAAGTGTCACCTTGAATTTAAACTTTTCTATTCTTATTTATTTATTTAGTAAATTCATTTGACTGTTCTAATGAAGTAGCTTTAGAAAACTGCTTGTTTTTCTCTCAAAATGCTAAGACAATAGCTAGTACACTAACTATTGTCTTAACTCCTATTTAAATGAGGTGATGCTAGGTTTTTACTTACTGGTAATCTGGTCAGGTTATCTTTGCTTTTTCAGGAGGAAGACCAACAGCACAATGACAGTACAAACAATGTGTCACCTCCCGATGATGCCACTAGAGGGAGTTGACCCCGCCTTACTGCTGAACTTCACCTCTAGGGAATGTCACATGGTCCCACAGCCAGCAGAGGATGAAACCATGATGGTCTGTGGCTGCCAGGGTGAACACGAATGCAACGACAAACTCATCTTTGACAAAGGAGCAAATGGTGAGCAGGGGCGAGTAGGTCCGGTTTAATAAATGGAGTACATCTGCAAAGTTGCACGTGAAGCTGAAATATGGGAAAACTCATGCAAAACTGAGTGTTGGTGTCTTTTAGTGGATAAATCAGTTGCATTTGTCTGTTTTCTGCAGGTCTCGCTAGGTTACAGAGTAAAGATGTAATCCCAGTGGTCGTGATTAGTTTGGTGCCTCTTGTTCTGGTGGCCATCGTTGCCACCATCGCCTTCTACTTCTACAGAGTACGCTGCCCTGGTAAACCAGGCCCTCCTACACGTCCTGACTGGCCCACTAAACACTCTCCAGAGCTCTACCAGGCTTTGGACATGCCATGTGAGGGGCCAGGTCCCAGGGGTGAAAGTGGAGGAGGAGGTCTGATGTGTCCTGGAGATGAACTGGAGAACCAGGTGGCAGAATTGCTGCCCATCAAGCTGGATCTGCTAGTGGGAAAGGGGCGCTTTGCTGAAGTTTGGAGGGCACGCCTGCTGCACAGTGAGAAGGGTGGAGCTGACAGTTATGAAACTGTGGCAGTGAAGGTTTTCCCAGCCATGGAGTACACCTCTTGGAGGAACGAATGCTCCATCTTCTCTGAAAATACATTACAACATGACAATGTGGTTCAGTTCCTGGCAGCTGAAGAGAGGAGCCCACCAGGCAATACTCTCCAGACATATTGGCTGGTTTTGTCCTATCACAGCCTCGGAAACCTGCAGGACTACCTCACAGCCAGCACTCTGAGCTGGAGGGAGTTAATCTTTATGGCAGGAAGCATTGCAAATGGATTAGCGCACCTCCACAGTGACACAACGCCCAATGGAGAGCCAAAGGTAAACTCTGCCTACCATTTGTTGAAATGTAGAACAGATCATGTTTAGTGAAAGTCAGTTGTTCCACTATCAATTTCCATAAGTTAGATCAGTAATGGGTCATATACATATATATGGTAGAAATTCTATCTATTTAGCCAACAACCATGATTATGCATGTTGTTGAATGTTGTCAAGCTGTGCTACTTTGGATGAATGCATGAATCAGCAGCTGCTGCTGCAGCAACCATGGAGCAGGTGAAGGAGGAAGTGCTTGTGAAGAAGACGAGAACTTAAATGGCCAGGTTTGGGTTTAATGAGTCAGATGTTGAGCAGAAAAACATCCTCTGCAGAAAATATGCAGGGTGACAGTAAGGTCTTATCTGCATCACAAGCTTGCTATCGCAAAATTTCCATTATTATTTCTACTACATGATTACCGCACAGACTTCCGAAGTTTTTGGACATCAACCGTGACTTAGTTTGAACAATTTTCCCTCAACAGTTTCAGCTGGTTTTTCCCATTTCATAAGTTCAAACAATTTAGAATGATGTGTTTTTATAACATTTAGCTTATATTTTATTTAAAATATCTTTGTCTTTATCTTAAAAATTACTTCAAAGGTTTTTTTGTGTGTGTGTTGTGTGTGTGTATACATATATATATATATATATATATATATATATATATATATATGTGTGTGTGTGTGTGTGTGTGTATGTGTGTTTTGTATACACACACACACACACACACACACACACATATATATATATATATATGTGTGTGTGTGTGTGTGTGTGTGTGTGTATATATACAAAACACACACACACACACACATATATATATGTGTGTGTGTGTGTGTGTGTGTGTGTGTGTGTGTGTGTGTGTGTGTGCATACAAAACACACACACACACACACACACACACACACACACACATATACATATATATGTGTGTGTGAAGCTGTCCAGACTGGTGATTGTTGGTGACTTTAACATCCACGTTAATGATCCCTCTGATCACTTTATCATGAATTTCTCCAGCCTTATGGACTCCTTCAGCTTTACCCAGCATGTTTCTGGCCCCCCACACACCAGGGGGCACACTCTAGACCTTGTTTTTACCCTGGGACTAAATGCTGACAGTCAGGCCCGGCCCAAACAAAATTGGAGCCCTAGGAAAGATTATAGGTGGTGCCCCCTTACACTGCAGTAAATTCCACTGCGACTGTACATACTCACAAGAAACCACATAGCTTTGTCTTAGACATTCTTTTATTTTAAAAAAGCCATTTGCACATTCAGAATACGTAGAAATATAAACATTTTGAACTGAATATATAAAATAAAATGAACTAAACTAAAAGCATTAAATTTAAACATTACAAAATTAAAAGAGAAAAATTATAAATACCATAAAAATAAGGAAGATTTAAATATAACAAAAATAAAAGTAAAAAATTATAAATACCATAAAAATAAGGAACAACACTAAATGAAGCATTAAAGAAACCAGTATCCAGAAAGAATTACAAAACAAAACAAGTTAGTATTTCAATAAAAATTCACCCAAAAGATGATTTACAATGTCATCCAGTGGTGTTTTTTGGTACTGCGTCACCAATGACACTACACCACATGTCCTGAACCTAACATAACCTGCTACAGATTTACTCTCCTGTTTTTTTTTTGCAGCAAAGTCACCTACAACATCATCATATGACAACTGATTTGAGACCACATGGTTTATGCTTATAATGGCAAGTCCACTGAGACGTTCTTGCATCATAGTAGATCTCAAATAAGTTTTAATCATTTTGAGCTTAGAGAAGCTTCTTTCAGCTGCAGCCACTGTAACAGGATGAGTGGCAGAGATTCTCAAAGCCTTTAGTCCTTCCCTAGTCAGTTTGTACTCTCTTTTAGAAAAGATTTTACAGCAGAAGCAGTGCAAGCTATCCTCTTTTTTAGAATACATAAGCCAGCTTCTTCTGACTTTTTCACCATTGTCTAAGAGTCTGTTAAAAATGTTATGTTGACACCTTCGTCCATCTTTTTGTTTAGGGAATGTGAAGCTATTTTCAATTTGAAATGGACCTCTGTGAACCAACTCTGTGCGTACCTTATCTGTTAGAGGAGATGGCCGGTCAGCAGGGTCTATTGAAGAAGCAGAAGATGTGCTTGATGTTGCTGCATCACTGCTAAGGTGTGCTGCTGAGGTGGAGCCAACAGGAGGAGTGCATGATGCAGCTACATCACTGCTTAATTGTTCGGCTGAGGTAGAGGCGATAGGAGGATTTGCAGGGGTGGGACATAGAAACTTCAGCAGCGCATCTGAAGACAGAAGACGAGTATATAGAATAGAATAGAATACTTTATTTGTCAATTTCTTCGAATGTGCTTGCCATACAAGGAATTGAAATTACGTTTCACACTGTCCCATGCGTATACATTAGCATAAAGTGCAGATGCACAACAATAACAAAAACAAAAAACATCCCTAACAATAAGATAATATTAAACAGGTAAATATCGCTAATAATATACAAAACATATAGCAGCAGGTGTGTGCAATTGCAATGCAGAGGTAGTTGTTTACAATCAGAAATATTTACCCCGTTCTTGGTTCAACCACTATTTCCTTTTTGTATAGTGTGTGTGTGTGTGTGTGTGTGTGTGTGTGTGTGTGTGTGTGTGTGTGTGTGTGTGTGTGTGTGTGTGTGTGTGTGTGTGTGTGTGTGTGTGTGTGTGTGTGTGTGACATCAAGCTAAATATCAATACATGATTTCAAGAATAAAATAAAATTCTGAAAAAAGATAAGACCCCAGAAATGTATACACAATGCAGTGTTCATGAAAACATTTGAGCTAAACTGGCAGCAGACATAGATGTGTCTCATGCAAGACATTTTTGAACCATGCTGGACAATGTTCTCACGTGCTGCTGATCTGGATCTGTTTAACAGTGGGTTTTCGATTGACCTCGGACATTGACATACTATAACTTTTTTTGCAACAATAATCTGTTGCATTAATTTAAAGAAGAAAACCATCAATGAGAATTTTTGCATGATGCAAATCATTTTCCATGAGGTTTAAAAAAATCACTCATAAAAAATATAAAACAGACAGAATTGTGAAGAAACTATCAAGACAATTAGCAAGGACCATCATTTAATATTCAGGCATTATTATGAAACACCGAACTCTCAAAACTTAATTGATCTTATTAAGAAACACTGAATTCTCAGAACACAAAACATCAGAAAATATTCCAAACCACTAAAATAATCCTAGGTTGCTGTAATGTGTTGCTGCTGCTCTGTTATTGACACGTTGCTTGTTTGACTGAATGTTTACAGTCTGGGAGCCAGATATGCAGCTTATACCAGCTGTTTAACAACTTTAATAAACCATTGTTAAGAGCTAATATATTTGTGTCTCATGCTTTAGTGCTGCACAAACGTTACAATATTAAGAAAATTGCTTTGTTTGTCCTAAAGCATCCCCAGAGTGCTAACTAATAACGTCATGAAATCATTATTTAATTTCAATATTTTACACCTTACCTCTGTCTTTGTTGCGTTTTTCCTCCCCTGGGCTCCAGATAAGCTGTTTAGACATGATGAACTAGCTGAATCATCAAAACAACCATTCTCGTAGCAGGTAAAGACGAGGAGGGAGGCGAAGTGGGCGCCACGGGCGGCGCCACATAGTGACGTATCATTAATCATTTTTAAATGGCACAATGCGCTACTGAATAAACTTTGCTAAGAAGATATTAGGTTGTGGGCTTGATATTTTAATATTAAGACACATTAATATCATTTTGCTTTACAAACGTTACCTAACTTTTTATTTTATTTTTTGTGGTGCCAGAGTGCTCCCTGGCTGGCTGGCGCCCCTAGCACTTGCCTAAAATGCCTATAGGATGGGCCGGCCCTACTGACAGTGGTTGTCCTGAGGACGTTTATGTTTCAGATCACCATTGCATTTTCTTTAACTTGTCAGTTTCTGCATCCCCACCTCCTGCTCGCCGTATGGTTAGTCCTCGTTTTCTTAATGAGAGCACAGCTAGCAATTATTCTGCTGCTTTTGATCCACCCTGTTCTTCTGATAACGACCCAGATTCCTTAACTTCTCAGTTTAACGAGCACTGCCTCTCCATTCTGGACAACATCTGTCCAGTCAGAAACAGATCAGTTCCTGCAGTGAACCCTACTCCCTGGTTTAATGACAGGCTTCGCAGCCTGAAGTGCCAATGCAGAAAAATTGAGAGCTTGTGGAAGAAAACCCATCTCCACGTCCATCTGCTGCACCTAAAGGATCTTCTGACATCCTTTAACTCTGCAGTCAGAGACGCAAGGGTTTCCTTTTTCTCCAGCCTGGTGTCCCAGAGCAAAGGGAACCCCAAGGTGCTGTTTAACACCATCAGCAGCATCATCTCTCCTGCCTCTCCTACAGCCTTCATCCACTCTGTTACAGACTGTGAGAACTTTCTGTCTTTCTTTGTGGACAAAGTCAATAAGATTAGATCTAGCATCTCTCCTTCAGCCTTATCGCTGCCTCTCCCGACTCCAACCAGTCCCATCATCCTAGATAGCTTTCCTCCTGTTTCTTTGCCTGAGTTAACCAAACTAGTTAACTCTATGAAGACCTCTGCATGCCCCCTCGACATCTTACCCTCATCTTTGTTTAAAAGTGCTTTTCAGTCCATTGGTCCCAGCGTGCTCTCTATAATTAATGCTTCTCTGGTTTCTGGTCAGGTCCCTGCTTACTTTAAGAACGCTGTAATCCACCCGCTTCTTAAAAAACTGAGTCTCGACCCCTCTCTCCATAGCAGCTTCAAACCCATCTCTAAACTTTCGTTCATCTCCAAGATCTTGGAAAAGGTTGTGGCTAAACAACTCACAACTGCTCTTGATGAACATAACATCTATGATAGCTTCCAGTCATGTTTTCGTAGAGTTCATTCTACTGAAACAGCTCTTCTTAGGGTCTCTAATGACCTTCTGACCCACAGTGATGCAGGGGACTGTTCTGTTCTGGTCCTGCTGGACCTGACTGCAGCCTTTGACACTGTTGACCATCACCTGCTACTGGAGAGGCTGAGAGACTGGGTAGGCCTATCAGGATCTGCTCTGGAGTGGTTCTCCTCTTATCTCTCTGAGCGCTCCTTTTCTGTGGCCGTCTCCAAGTTTAGGTCATCCACCACCTCCCTTACCCATGGTGTCCCACAAGGTTCTGCACTGGGGCCTCTGCTCTTCCTTCTCTATCTGCTTCCTCTTCAGCACATCCTGAGCTCATTCAAAGGAATCTCCTACCATCTTTATGCAGATGACATCCAACTGTACATCTCCTTTAAGCCCAATGAGATGTCTAAGTTGCAGCTGTTACACACCTGCGTAGACTCTATCAAAACCTGGATGGCTGGGAGCTTTCTACAGCTGAATGAAGATAAGACTGAGATCCTCATCTGTACCCCAGACAAGCTGGTTCCCAAAGTCAGAGACTCTCTTGGTCAACTTGCTTCTCACACCAAACCCTTTGTCAGGAATCTTGGCGTGACCTTTGACCCAGCTCTCACCCTGGATTCTCATATCATTTCTCTTGTTCGCTCTTCCTTCTTCCATCTCAGGAACATTGCTAAGCTGAGTCCCATTCTGTCCCGCTCATGTGTCTGAGCAGAACCTCCCTGAACCGTCTACAGGTGGTTCAGAATGCCTGTGCTCGGCTTCTGACCAAGTCCTCCAAACACACCCACATCACCCCGCTTCTCCTCCAGCTTCACTGGCTGCCAGTCAACTTCAGGGTTCATTTCAAGATCCTGGTTCTGGTCTATAGGACCTTACATGGACAAGCACCATCTTACATTGGTGATCTTCTCAGTCCCTACACCCCCAGCAGGTCCCTGAGGTCCAGTGATCAAAGCCTACTGGTTGTGCAGCACCAGGCTAAAGACCAAAGGTGACAGATCATTTGCTGCTGTGGCCCCCAGACTCTGGACCTCTCTCCCCCTGAGCCTGAGATCAGTGGTCTCCTTTAAAAAGCAGCTGAAAACTCACCTGTTCAGGCTGGTTTTGGTGTGACCTTCATCACCCTCTCCTTGTTCTGCTTTCCCTATCTATTCTACCTTCCTCAGGATCCACTGATTTCCCTCTTTCCTATTCACTCTCTCTTTCTTTACATTTTTAATCACAGTTGTCTATTTTTTGCTCATTTTAAATATATTTTAATCATTTTTTCTAAATTTGTTTTTATATGTTACATTTTTTGTTTTTGTGGAGCACCTTGTGATTTTTATCTTGAGAGGCGCTATAGAAATGATACTTTCTTCTTGTTCTTCTTCTTCTGCTGCTGCTGTCCCATAAACGCCTGCAAAATCCCAGCCAGATCTCTCAGCGTTGGTTCTCTGACAGCTTCACCCCCCAGTGTCTGCTGCTGAAGCTCTGTCCTCCATTTCTTCTTTCTCCAGCTACTGGTTCCTCAGTTGTTTTGGACTCTGGTTTCGTCCCACCTCTGCCACCATATGTGAGGCAGTTAGGCAGGAGGACACACTGGTAATTCAAAAAAAGAATGGGATTTATTTCCCCAAAATTAAAAAAAAAAAACCTTTACTTTATACACGGGCGCTTTAAACGAGGTCAAATGAAAAAAAAAAACTACGCAAACCATAAAGGTGCTGGCTCAAACAAACTGACCTCCCAAAAAACAAAAGGGAGCTTAAATACTGGCTGATCAGACCAAGTTAACACAAAGGGGGGGGGGGGGGGGGGACACTCATCTACCTAATTAACAAAAGAACTGAACACAATTCATGAGTTAACCTGAAATCCTAAATTAAATGCAAAGTTATGAAAAGAAAGAAACTATAAGTCTACAAGATTCATACAGAAATTATAACAACTAAGTCCCGTCTTCCCCCATGGTGGAACTCATGTTGGCACAGTCCAATCAGCGCTTCCTGCTTGTGAGACTAGCAGGTAGGCTGAAGCTCCCAACTCTCCACAGTTCCAGACTCAGTCCATGGAGTCCCCCGGCACCAAAAGAAAACAAATATTAAACAGTGTTTGACAGAATTGAATACACAAATGTAAACTAAATGTGCAATTAGAACTTAACACATGTCATTTGTGTCAAATAAAAATATATAAACCAAAGGTGTGTTTCTATTAACTTAGGAAACAGTGTATTGGTGTGTGGGGGTTGCCGACTTTGTGTGGCCGTCACACCTTGTATAAAACTGCTATCCATCCTGACAGATTCCATGTGTTATTTTCTAAACCGATGCTGCTCAGGAAGCTGCTTTTTCTACAGAAACACATTTCTAAATGTCTGACAAATCCCTTCTGAGCACTTACTGACTGATGTTGAGGTCTGACTGATGTCCAGGTTTATTTACATGGTTAACAACTTTTGCTGTTTGTGTTACTGCAGGTCCCAGTTGCCCATCGAGACCTAAAGAGCAGTAACATTTTGGTAAAGAACAGGAACGAGTGTGCCCTGTGTGACTTCGGTCTGGCGCTGAGGTTGGACCTTTCACTGACAGTAGATGACTACGCCCACAGTGGACAGGTAATCCATACAGAGACCACTGCAGGCTTTAAAAGCTCTGCAGCTTCTTCTGGCGTCTATAAAATTACTGTCCTGTAAGTTTTTTTTATTGGGGCTGCAGCTGATCGGGGTTTTCTAGCACCCAACACCTTGCCATAAGTCCAGTTATCCATCTTCAAACCAGTGTCTGAAGCTTCTCACCACTTCTGTTTGTAAAAGATTCCTGCTTGTCAAGGTCTCTGAAGCTGAATCGCCTAAATGGGCTTTGCGTCACAATCTTCTTAGTGTTGCTTGTTCACCGTGTTCCTTCAACAACATCCTTTTGTAGCTCCTGCTCCTTGTGGACAGTCTCAATGACTGTCTTCTGGACATCTGTCCAGTCAACAGGGCTCCTCATGATCGTTTATTCTGCTGAGCCAGACTGAGATCATTTAGGAGGCCCATATTTCTACAGATTACAAAACAGTAATAGTGCCTCGTGTCATTTTAGTAAACTGTTTGGGTTCTGCTTTATCCTCCTGTCCAGGTGGGGACAGCTCGATACATGGCTCCTGAGGTTCTGGAGTCCAGGGTGAACCTGGAGGACCTGGAGGCCTTTAAACAGATGGACGTTTACTCCATGGCTCTGGTCCTGTGGGAGATGGCCTCCCGCTGTGACGCTATTGGAGGTGAAAGTTCTCCGAAAAATGTGAAAATGAAATAATTTCTCATGCTTTAAAATTCAGAATAATGCTAAGAAGAACATGTCAACAGCAAATTCTAAAGAATCAATCAACAGTGTCTGTTAACGACAATCAACTTTTACCATTTTAAGTATACATTGGTAAATATCTAGTTTTTAAAACTCAACTATTCGCTGATTGATAATAATATACAATCACTTTTATTTTATAATGTAATACTGTATAAGTATTAAAGGAGTACAGAAATAAAATTGGCCCTTGCTACCTGTAGATCCTCCACCAGGGGGCAGAAGACAAGGTTATGGCAGGTTTGTGATGAAGGTACTAATACTGATACTCCATCTGGAGGCTTTGGGGTAAGACTTGGCTACTGTAGTCTAAAAGAGGTTAATTTACTGGTGGATGTCTAACCAACAGACTCTGAACCAGTTCCACTGAGGAACACATCATCTAGTTTTTAAAGCATGCTTTCTGTTTTAAATTGTTGTATGGGACACTGAATCAGTTTACGGTTTGTCATCAATACACAGTGGTCACAGTGAGCAAAAATGGGAGGTATTGGATGAATTTGCATTAATAGTTAATAGAGAGTCTGTATTATCTACACCTTCAGCTGTTTGCATCGATGGTAAATGTCAGGCTTAGGGGTTTTCAGCTCAACCCTAATTTTATACATTAATGAAATAAGCAGGTTTAGATTGTGTCAAACTAAAAATTATGCAGATGACACCCTTCCCAGAGCTTTTGTTTTTAAAATAAAACCACAGGCTAATTAGCCCCAAATGGTATGTATACCAAATGATGGCTGAGGCATACACATGAGTGTGATGACATAAATTACTAAAGAATACAAGCAGCTGTAACTCAAGTGTTGGTGTCTAAATGGATGATTGTGTTGGTGCAGAGGTGAAGAGCTATGAGCCGGTGTTTGGCTCAAAGGTCTGCGAGCAGCCCTGTGTGGACAGCATGAGAGACCTGGTTCTGAGGGACAGAGGACGGCCGGACATCCCCTCCACATGGACCCAGCACCAGGTACCTTCTGAAATCCACAGCTGCATTTTGTAGAATTGGCGGAACGCTGAGTAAAGTCAAACAGATGTGTTTAATAGCAGGATCAATTCTCTGTTTTCCACAATAATAATCATTTTGAAATTCATTAAATTTATAAGATTATTACTTGGCTTCAGAACTGTCAAAACCAGCTCTTATCTCATAAATTTGACAGCAGTTCATTAAAAAATATATTTTTTTAATTGAACGTAATCATTTCCACATTACATGATTACTTAAGCAAAAATATAAAAAGATTCCTGTCAGACCATCGACATATAAATATTGGACAATGGGTTTCCATAGACTCCAATAACACATTTTTGAAGAGAAATGGGAGGTGGCCACCACCGCCATTTTGACCGTGTCACAGGTTTCGTCAAGCCCAGACAATTCCACAAAAGGGAAGAGAGGTGGAACTGAGGGTGTGGCTGTAAGGCTGAGATCTACTGACGACACCCGGTCGAGCTAGCTACAAGCTAACCTGAAGCTAACCCAAAGCTAACGCGGAGGTGGGAGCTAAGCTAACGGAGGTAGCAACCTAGCTACAACCGGAGTTAACTGTTCACAACACCAGAGCTTCTAAGTCAGAGATACGCCGGGCTGACCGCTGGGTAAAACCGGGTGGAACACAGAGGTCTCCGAGAGCTCCACAAGCCGGCATCCGCACAGCAGACAAGCACTGCTGCGATCTGAGATGCGCAGAGCTGCCGCTGGGAAATTTATTATCAAACATACTCACTTAGATAACTATTCAGTCAGAGTTGCATCATTTAATCCATTTGTTTCACTGAAAAAGGAGCAGGCAAAACTATGAACTTGTATAGCCCGTCCAAGTAACATGGAATAAAAATACATGTATCTGTATGTAAATGTAGTTTAAATGTCTTCCCACAATAGCTCGTGTAGATTCTGTCTGAGTTATACCATAAAAATCCTGCAGTTCCACTAAAAGCGCATTTACCTGCAAAGCAGCCAATTAGCTCAAAAAGAAATTTCTTACCAGTATACAAATCTGACATTTGACATGTCTTGGAGGCTACATCACTTCCGGGTCACTGAACTGTCACTCAAGAAAAACCACTGTCCTATGGGAGAGGACTTCTCAGAAGTCCCACCCACCCGAAAGGGTTGTGTCAGAATTGCAACCAAAAACTCAGGAATTGCAAAGGAGAAAGCCAGAAAGTGTAAGTGCAAATCTGGTAGTGAGAGCAAAGCTCTGAGCAGCGAGAACGAAACTAAGGAAACTGAAAACAAAAACACATAGAGGCAAACAGAAAAAGGAAACATACTTTGTTACTCATTTTAAGAAGTTGATTCAGATAGTAAGTTTTTCTTTTGAAACATGTTTTTTTCCTTTAGTCAATATTTTTGTTCTGTCAATTTCTTAATTTTTGTTTAACCGTCAAAGTGTTTTTCTCGATCATTTTAAGAATCTGATTCAGATCGTAAGTTTTTTTTTTTGAAACGAATGTTTTTTCTCTCAATGTCTTAAAATTTGTTTGCTCTCCAAAGTGTTTTTCTTGATCCTATTGGCACAAATCTAATCCCATACTTTCTGAGCTTTTCATGAAGACTAAACATGAAAATGGTCTCCTACACCTATCTCCTGCATTAGCTTCTGATGGAAAAAAGATGGTGAAACTCTAGGATTAGAAAAGGCTGACAGATCTATGTCACACTGTCACTTAACATTCATGGACTCACCCATCTTGGCTCATGACGGGGAAGGTTGCTGTTGGTTTAATGTCCAGGAAACAGCAGACAACGTCTCAGCTAGTAGAAGCTAACCGTTAGCATTAGCAACTCCACCACACAGCAGAGAACGTCTCAGCTAGTAGAAGCTAACCATTAGCATTAGCAACTCCACCACACAGCAGAGAATGTCTTTGCTAGTAGCAGATAACCATTAGCATTAGCAACTCCACCACACAGCAGAGAACGTCTTTGCTAGTAGAAGCTAACATTAGCATTAGCAACTCCACCACACAGCAGAGAACGTCTTTGCTAGTAGAAGCTAACTGTTAGCATTAGCAACTCCACCACACAGCAGAGAACGTCTTAGCTAGTAGAAGCTAACTGTTAGAATTAGCAACTCCACCACACAGCAGAGAACGTCTTAGCTATTAGAAGCCAACCGTTACCATTAGCAACTCCACCTCACAGCAGAGAACGTCTTTGCTAATAGAAGCTAACCGTTAGCATTAGCAACTCCACCTCACGGCAAATGAGAAAAATGGCTTCATCTCTGTGTTCATGCTTGTTTTACTTATAAAGATGAATTTACTGTCACATAGTTTGAGTTATCTGGCAACCCTCAACTCTTAACTGTTCTCTAGGGGATGGACGCATTCTGTTCCACCATCACAGAGTGCTGGGATCATGACCCCGAGGCCAGGCTGACAGCTCACTGCGTCGTGGAGCGCTTCAACGCCCTTCAGCACGACGAGGAGGTAGAAGAGAAAGCTGAGGAAGAATGTGCAAGAAGGGAGGAATGAACTGAGGAGACTTCACACTTTAGCACTGATTTGCCTTGTCCTTCATTAAAATTTCATGTCTTACTACAGATTTATCCCACGACTCATTGCCTGAGCCCAGGTCCCATGCCCTTAGCCACTGTGTTCTCAGGTACAGAAAATACTAAATTACAAAAACTGTTGCAATTACAAATAGATTGTGATTTCACTGACAGAGGAGTAACAGTTCTCAACAGAACAAAGGTACTGGAGAATAATATCTGTTCAATTAGAATTTAGTTTGTCCGTTCACCTCTTGAGGAATGATGACGAGATCTAAACAGAATCAGTCTGGGGAGTTTTAAACCAGAAATTAGATGTTTTATTCCTGACTTTATCATTCTGACTTAGTACACCATCATGCTGTGGAAGACATTCAGTTTATTTATATAGCGACAATTAACAATACAAGTCATCTCAAGGCACTTCACAACATTCCTATTGCACTCACTTATCAGTTCAGTTCATTGTGGCCAGTTAGTTAAAAGTTTCTTATGTAAGGAAACCCGGCAGACCGCATCGAGTCACTGGCTCAATCTCAATACTCGTACTTGCACGCTTGCGCCCTTCCTTTGCGCATTCCCGGCCAGGGGTGCGAGTGCGTAGGGTGTCTGGATTCTCAAGTGCAGAAGTTGACCATGCCCCCATTGCACCCTTAATCTGCATGTCACCCAAGTCTGCAGCGATGCGAACCTCGGGCAAGGGTATTACCCACAAGTCATTGCTGCGGGAAAAAAGGCTCAAGTTCCTTTTCTGAAAATATGTATTTTCTAATGAAATTAGTTAATTTTAGGACGATTAGTTGATGCTCTGAATATTTTAGACAAAGCAGCAATAAAGTGAAATTTATTTCAAAAAATTGCTTTGTTGTTTGAAAGTTGTTAATAAAGGTTTTTGAAAAAAGTTTCACAGTGACCAGCATTCCGCTATGCTCCCCGTCTCAATTCGGCAATTATTTGCACACTTGTGTACTACGCACTCGAACCCTCCAGCGCACTTTCTCCAAGTGCTCTTTGCTGTGCAGTGCGAGTTTTGAGATTGGGCCACTGACTTGTTGTGTCAGTGTCTTCACAGCAATCCCTAAGCAATACTAAGCAAGCGTGTAGCGACAGTAAAGAACAGGACAAAACCTCCAACAGACCCTAGATCACTTTGAGCTGACATCTGTCACAGCCGACTAGGGGTTTGAAAACACAGAGCAGATACAAAAAACTGTTGTTGGGTGGTTAGAGGAGTTCCTCTGGGCGGATGTTTAGGTACCATTCTGTATTCATGGATGTTCTGAGACTAAACTATGAGTAAAAATGGTAAATGGCCTGTATTTTTTATAGCGCCTTCTTAGGGTTCTACAACTCCCCAAGGCACTTCACAACACAATCAGTCATTCACCCATTCACACAAACATTCACACGCTGGTGATGATGTGCTACGATGCAGCCACAGCTGCCCTGGGGTGCACTGAGGGAGACAAGGCTGCTTAGCACAGGTGCCACCGGTCCCTATGAACACCAGCACCAGGCAAGAAGGGTTAAGTGTCTTGCCCAAGGACACAACAGCAGTATTCGAACCTTCCAATTGCTGGACAACCCGCTCTATCTCCTGAGCTACTGCTGCCCGTGAGTACACTCCTTGGGCTGGAGAGTATCTGTGGATCTGTGCTTTAAGGTTTTTGCTCTCATGACCCAGTTAGGCAGCACAAGGATGGATGAAAAATCTCCAGAAGTGATCATAGCCATACTCACTCAATGAAAGAACTTTTGTCAAACTTGTGACAGCAAACGTTCACCAGTAATCTGCTGTGCAGATGTAAAAATCGGTAGATTTTGTTGGAGCTGGTCTCCATTGTTGTATTATTCTGTAATAATGACTAATATGTTTTGCTGTAACCTACATGTATGATTAAATCAGACAGTAAGTTTCATCCTGTTATAATTGCAATTCCACAAACTGATTTCTTGAACCATTTCCAGTCAAAAAGATCACTGCCAGAGGTTTCGTTGTACTTTGTTTTTATAACTATTCTCAATTACTTTGGATGTTTGGGAAATGGAAAACCATAAAATTGTAAAATAATACTGTTGTTATTACAAATCTACTACGCAGGATGTAAAATCAGTATTTTAAATCTGTTTTGTTTACTTGAAAATAAAGTTTTTATGTGAATAATTCTTTGTTGTGTTTTAAACCTTGGGCTCCCCCTTATACACAGTTATTTACATATTACAAGGAAAGTTTCAGTACATTAGAATAGTCAGTTATTTAGATTTTCATGTTCATACAGATGACTTGCAATGTTACTAAGTACTCGCTAGAGGGCGAGATTTGTCCAACTTTGAGTTGCTGGGGTCACCGAGCGTGTAGTGACCCTGTTTAGGGACGATCTTTGTTCAGTAGCCCGTGCGCATGCGGCCTACGGTAAAAATTACTTCATCATGTGGCTCGTCCTGATTATAGACAATCTTCGGCGCGCCTGTGTTCTCTCTCAGCTGACGCCGAACAACAAACCGGAACCCGCCGCTGTCAGGCGAAGGCTTTCACACCGGCCGGTGTTTCCGCCAGCGCAGCGGTTTCCTCTCTTGACGCGTGAGACTACGTCGCTCAGTTTTGCAGGATGCTAACATGTTCTAGTCACCTCGCAAGCGATGAATGAAACGAGCACCGAGTGGACCGGACCGAGACCGGCGGAGGTTTTGTTTACTTCGGGACATCGAGTCCCGTTTGTCGCGCACGTCGGAGGATGGAGCCTCGGCTGAGTGGTGATGGAACGCCGTTCGTGTCCTGGTTTCTCCTTGGCCCAGTTCTCATCCTCCCACTCCTAGCTGTACCCGCTAGCTGTCACGGTACCTGCAATCACCGAGTCCCCGCCCCGAACGAGGTGAGCCTCCGCGGTCACTGCTGCGTTCAGAGATCAGACAAGTCCTCTGCTGTAGCGGCGGAGCTAGCTAGCTAGCGCTAGCTGCAGTGGCTGATTTCTTTCACAGGTTCAGTTTTCTGTCCTAAAACTGACACCTTATGATTTATAAATACAAAGTAAGCAAACATCTGCTGTTGGACCGCTCGCCCCTTAGGAGGTTTAGGACAGCGGTTCCCAACCTTTTCTGACTCGTGGACCCCTGAGCCGTTTTCTCCGAGTCTTAGTCAAAGGTGTTGACGATTCCCCAAAAGTAGAACGTACAACTGCCAGTTAAACGAACAATAATTTCATTAAATCTCCTTAACGCTGAACCACGTCTCACTTCCTGTGTGGCTCAGTCCTCATGCAGGGTCCAGACTCATGGAAACTTTCTGGAGCTCTGCATCCGCACCAAAGCTGGTGTAAATGCTCCGATTGGACTCAGTGATTTCGGATCCACGTGAAACCGGATCGTATCCATTCTGCATGTGGTCAAGGCTTCAGGCCCTCTGTCAGTAGCAGCTGCAGCCATGCTCTGTTTTTTTTTCTACATGTAATGTTTCTTAACCCTGGTCCTCAGCTCCCCGTCCTACAGGTTTTAGGCGTTTCCCTGCTGCCACACTCCTAATCTAAATGAATGAGTGATTAACAAGTTTCTGCAGAACCTGATGTCATCCTGAAAAGGAAATGCAAATATATAAATCAGGTGGGCTGAAGTGGAGACATGGAAAACATGCAGGACAGGGGCGCTTGATAAAAGCTGGTTTATTTTTCATTTGGGTAGGAATGAGTCATATGGCCTAAAATCTATATCACAATATTTTGTTTATTTATGTCAAAATGACTGTTTTTACATTCTCACATACCAGATGAATAACAGAAGTATTTCTAAAAACTACAGAACGTTTAACGTTCAAAACTTATTTTAAAAAATACAAAAACTTTCAGGTAGTTTTTTTGTTGTGGTATGATTCATTCTCCAACAAAGCAACATAAAACTCCTCATAAAGATGAAGATATTTAAATAAAATCCAAGCTAAATGTGAAGAAAACACAAATTTATAACTAATTTAATTAAGCTGAAGTGAAACATGTAAAAACAGAAATAAGATTGCGTCCTACTTTCATGATTTATTTAATCAGTTTTCATGTTTTTCATAGAAGTTAAGTGTTGCTTCACTAACTGCAGGTAAAAATCATGATTTATCCACAATATTAACATCAGGTCCGTATAAACGACGTTAGCCCGTCCGCAGTCGCACGTGCAAAGCTGACACGGCTTGACTAAATGAATGCACAGTTGCGGTTGGCCTAAATAGATAATAGATAATTAATCAACCTTACATTAATGTGCATTACCTTGTTTGAGTATTCATTAAGCATAACACATCCCAGCACAATGTTTTTTATTTTAGTTTTTACCAGGGATCGTGCTGTCATCATCTGGGTAATGAAATATAAATTTTTTCTGCGTGCCCCCTGTAATGCGCTCACAGACCACCAGGGGTACGCGTGCCCCTGGTTGGGAATCCCTGCCTTAGGGCATTTGTTTCTGTAAGGATCACTCTCTGCTAGGAAGCTAACACGCTAACATAAAGCTAGCTGGTTTGTTTTCGCGTTGGTTACCTTACAGACTTATTTACTCTTTAAAGAGCAAGTCACCCCCAAATCAACTTTTTTTCTGATAAACTACATAAATGCGTGTCTAATCGTGCTGCAGACGTGTTGTCAATAGTTTAGCACTTAAGTGCATTTTAGTTAAAATCTAAATTTTCTGCCTAATGCAGGGTGTTGTGCCGTTGTCAGGTAAAAACTCTGCCCTGCATTTGAATTAAATCTGCCATCGCTATTGGCTAAGAGGTACCTTAGAATGTTAGCTGGTACCATATGATGTCACAATGTTGTTGTGAGCCTCTGTGTGTGTGTATTTGTTAGTGGCTCCGCCCTCTCACTCTGCTAGGCAACAGCTTTTGTTGCATTTTTCAAACAGGAAGTGAGAGTGGAGTAATACTCGGGTAGGGGATGAGTTTCTCGTTAAAAAAATATTTGGGGTTTGCAATGTGCAGTCCCGTTTCCCCTAGCAACAGCGTAAATAAAAAATTGTCGATATTTTCAAAATTAAAGTAGAAAAGATTTAAAAGTGGCTTAGAAACATTTTAAAACCTTACATCTGAAATTAGTAATGTAAATGGAACAGAGCACATTTTAAAAATACCAGCTACTGAGTAGAAGAAGAAGAAGAAAATATCATTTCTATAGCGCCTCTCAAGATAAAAATCACGAGGCACTTCACAAAAACAAACAATGTAAAAATATAAAAAAGCATTTAGAAAATGTTTAAAAATATGTTAAAATGAGCAAAAATAGGCAATTGTGATAAAAAAATGTTAAGAAAGAGAGAGAGTGAACAGGAAAGAGGGAAATCAGTGGATCCTGAGGAAGGTGGAATAGGTGGGGAGAGCAGAACAAAGAGAGAGTGGTGAAGAAGGTCATACAATTATCAAAAGAATAAGAAATGGTGGGTGAACTGCCACAGATTTGTGGTTCTCTATAATGTTTTCCTGCTGACTTGGTTTAGGTTGTCCATCAAGTGTTCCTGAAACCTGATCGTTTAACGAAGAGGAGCTCTGAGGACCTGCAGCTGAAGATAAAGATCATCTACGACAGCAGTGTTGATCAGTAAGTCCTGCTTCTGAAGCTAAGAACCCACCAGCTGACCAGACCAGACCCGCCTGTCACCAAAACAACGCCTATCTGCAAACGCACCAGTTGAGCAGATTGAAGGAGGGTGCATGTTGTTCCGTTGTTTACACATTTGTGTGCGACTCCTCTTTACCGTGATGATTTTAATGAAGTGACGTGTCGCTGATGCGTTCTCTCTCACTCCACAGACTTGCTGCAGACAAGCGGAGGCTGGTGAAGGTGAGAAGACGCCTGATAACGTCACATGATTTTATTTATGTAATGAGTGCAGCAAAAAGAACCGTGGTTCTGTAGGAGAACCCGTGGCTCCTGTGCAGTCAGATGTGGATGTTGTGAATCGTGTTTTGGGTTCACGAGTCGCTGCCTGTGACTCTCTTCCTGTGTGTCCTGTCTCAGGATAAGCTGTTTCCTCAGGCCATTGACTACCTGCAGAGGGCCTTCAGTGTCCGACGCCGGGTCGGACCGGTACTGCTCAGCAGGTAGGTTCTCCGTCACCATCTTCTCAACACTTTAGGAACTCAACGACTGCCATGGATGCGCTAGCCCCAGCCTGACTTGTTTTCATATGTGCAGCCTGTAACCTGTGTAATTGCCGTGTACACCGTTCCACAGATAAATGGAACTAAATTATTACCAAACGGGTCTCACATGTGACCTCGGAGCATTTTGGTTGTGAGCAGTGATGTTACACCGCAGAGAAAAGCGATAAACCTAGAAGGTTCAAGTATAGAAAGGCCCCAGACAGCAGCTAAGTGAAACCGGGTGTCTCCAAACATCCAGCCTTTAGGCTGATGGGTGAAACTGTAAATCATCCTATCATCTCCTATTTCATTTCACATCTCTTTGGGTGTTTGGTAGTTTGGGTGATAAAAGCAGACGAGGAGCCATTCTGTGGTTTAATGTTTGTTTCTGTCGTCAGACAATGTGCCACCAATCAGTACATGAGGAAGAGAGGTGACCCTCATCGCTACTGCCAGGAAGCCTGTGCTGAGGTCACCCGCTGTGGTCCTGTCATCGTCCCACAGCACCACCTGCAGGTCTGGAGGGGTCCTCGGTTCTGGGGGGGGGGGCGCTCAGGAACAATGATCTCCTTTATGTATTTATATTTTATTAATGTATTTGTTAACACAATGGCTGCTCCACCCTTCAGACGCGGCTCCTGTGGTGGGGGGAGGGGCCAGAGCGGTTAAAAGATTAATCAGATTAGTTATTGAGGCTCTAGAGGAGCTAATTAAAGCTCTGTCGTCTGTGTGTTGTTGCAGCAATGCAAGGTGTGCAGTGATTCTGGGAAGTCCTGCGGCCCCACAGGGCCCCCAGACGGCCCTGGGGTGGATGGGTCCGACTTTGTGCTCTATGTCAGCGGCGTGACCACGGAGCGCTGCGGCCAGGAGAACATAGTGGCGTACGCTGCCTACTGCCAGCTGGAGGCGGAGCTGGACAGGTGGGACCGCAGTGTGTGCATCACAGAGACAGTAGGATTAGAGTAAAGCTGCTGTTGGCTGGTTACCTAGCAACCACGATCAGTCAGAGTAATCACATACATTATATTAATTAATGCGTGCGTGTGTGTGTATGTGTGTGCACGTGCGTGTGTGTATGTGCACGCACATGTGCATTCGTGTGTGTCTGCATGTGCGTGTGCATTCGTGTGTGCATGTGTGTGTGTGTGTGTGTGTTCTCAGGCCCATAGCAGGATATGCCAACCTGTGCCCTGCCATGATCTCCTCCCAGCCTCAGGAGTTTGAAGGGATGCTCTCCACAGTCAAGCACGAGATCATCCACGCTCTGGTAAACCGGTTTCAGCTGCTCTGGTTTCGTGCTGAATGTGGATGTTTCTGCTGATAAACAGACTCTGAGCTCCGGGTTTCTCCGCTTCTGAAGTTGTGTTTTTGTCTCGCTGGTCTCCTGCCCCCCAGGGCTTCTCTGCCGGCCTGTTTGCCTTCTACCACGATGATGAAGGGAAACCCCTGACTCCTCGCTTCGCCAGCGGTCTGCCAGCCTTCAACGAGAGGTGAGAAGCTCCTCGTCTCAGTGTGGGTTAGGGTCCTGCTGATGTTCCAGCTCTAACTCTGGTCTCCACCTGTGTGTCAGTCTGGGTCTGTACCAGTGGAGCGAGGCGGTGATCAGAAGGGTCAGCAGGCTGTGGGACATCAGAGGGGCAGAGATGGTCCGACACCACGTGCACGTCCTGGTCACTCCTCGCGTTGTGGTAAGGAGGTGGAGCCTCTCTGCTAGTCTCCATCTCCATCTTTTAGCTGAGCGCTGTTCTGTTGTCATAGTAACAGTCACCTCCTAGTGAAGCCCCATGCAGTGCTCCGCTGACCTCAGCTCAGGTCACATGAATTCCTTCCTGATGTTTTGTTCTGTGCTGCTCCTTCAGGAGGAGGCCAGGAGACACTTTAACTGTCCCATCCTGGAGGGGATGGAGCTGGAGAACCAGGGCGGGATGGGAACTGAGCTCAATCACTGGGAGAAGAGACTTCTGGAGGTGGGCTCCTCGTCTCTGCTGCCTCTGACAGCAATGCCAGTTTAAAGTTTTCATCCTGTGCTCGTGGCTCTGGTCTGTTCCAGAACGAAGCGATGACCGGCTCCCACACCCAGAACCGGGTGTTCTCTCGGCTCACGCTCGCCATCATGGAGGACAGCGGCTGGTACCGAGCCAACTACAGCTTGGCCCAGAGGCTGGACTGGGGCCGCGGTCTTGGGTGCGACTTTGTCATGAAGAGCTGCAAGTTTTGGATGGACAAGCAGCAACAGAGGTGCCGTGAAACACCCGTTTTAGTCCAGGGCTCCCGTGGGTTTCACCTGCTCCCATCTTAAATGTGGGAGCACGACTCTGATGTCTGAGCTGGGAAACGTCTTCATTCAGACTTCCAGATAGCTTTTTCATTGTTCTGATGATCTGCCATCACAAAGCCACGCATTTACTAAAGCAGCATTTGGGTGACTCATACATGGTTAGGGTTGTTTCTGCGAGCAGACAGAGTCTGACCACCTCAGCCCTTTTGTCTGCTGCTGCAGGAGACACCCCGTGACTCCGTACTGTGACACGGTGCGAGCTTCTCCTCTTCAGCTGACCTGCAGACAGGACCAGCTGGCTGTAGCCGTCTGCAACCTGCAGAAGTACCCCCAGGAGCTGCCTCTGGAGTACCAGGTAACTGTGAGCTGGAACCTTCCATGCAGGATGGTGAATGGAGAACAGGCTCAGATGTGGTGGCACGAGCAGATTTGCACTTATTGTTATAGATCTGTTAAGCAGGAGGTGTTTTTTGTTGCTGCGAAAGAGTCGCTCTGACACCAGTTTGTTTTTGTTCTGTGTCAGTATTTTGATCAGATTCCAGATGTGGCCACTGACCAGCTGTCATTCTTTGGGGGTGCAGTGGAGATCGCAGATTACTGCCCCTTCAGCCAGGAGTTCAGCTGGCACCTAAGTGGAGAATATCAGAGGAACTCGTACTGCCGAGTGTTGGAGAACCAGCCAGGTGCTGCTCACCCTGACGTTCGCCTCTGAGCTACAGAGGGATGTTTGAGTCACGCCTCCTCATATCAAGGTGTGTGTGTGTGTGTGTGCAGATTTGTGGAGGAACTATGGAGCGGAGCAGTACGGACCCGACTCTGTGTGTCTGTACCAGAAGTCAGCCTTTGTGATGGAGCAGTGCACGAGGAAGATGACGTATCCAGACTGGGGTTCTGGATGCTACAAGGTGACATCACTGATGGGCGGTTGGACAAACACATGACGTGGACAGCTTTCATTGCACGAGGCTACCGTAAACGCAGCTTCATTTAAAAGTTTTCGCTTGAGCAAACTTCAGATCTGCTGACATTCACATGTGACCAGCAGTTAAATGTCCACTCACTCCTAAAAGACGAGCTAACACTCCCACTCACAGCTTCACATGGCTGGTACTACTCCACAGGGGCGCTTTAGCCTGTTTTTGGGGGGTGCTAAAGCGCCCCTAAACCTCTAAACCTAGAAACGCCCCTGCTACTCCATTTATGAACAGTGTTGGGCAAGTTACTTCAAAACTGTAATGCATTATTTATTACGTGTTACCCTCATTTTAAAGTAATTCATTACATCACAAGATTACTGATTTCAAAATGTAAGGCATTACACTACTTTTGCATTACTCTTAGTTACTTTTAACAAAACAACTTCAGTATGAATTTGGTAATCTGACGCTCAGTGAACCCATGACACATACGGTGGAAGGTGATGTGGTGTCTGAGCTAGTGTTGCTGTTAAAAACAGTTCTTTAGAATTATTGTTTATTAAATCAAAGCAACAACAAACTGTACTCTCAGCACGCTGCCATCTTATATTAACTGAGCAGGGAGTGAGGTGGTGGGGGCTCCAAGCCTATATTTGTCTTGGTCCCCAAATGCCTTGATACGGCCCTGGATGTGGGACTGACTTCTGGGGTGATCTGATTCTATCACATGTATAAATATTAAATGCTTATTCATTATTGCTTTTCACTGGTAAAAATGTGTATTGGGGATAAATCTACCTACTTTTTTCTTTTCAAGCACTTTGTTTTGTTTTCTTGATTTTATATGAATTATTTCCGGCCCTTTCCCTCTGACCTTCCTGCATGCTGCATGTTTTCTCTGTCTTCCAGAAAAACGGTTTCCTAGACTTCCTACTTTCTAACTAATCAGCCAAAGGGACCTTAACATGCGCTGCGCTCCAGCAGCAATGAGTTGAAATCACCGGGATACAGATTAAACTCAGCTGAGGCAAAGCACGTCAGAAAAGTACAGAAAGTACCAGAGAATATGCACCGATATGAACAATCACAAGTGAATTATTTTGTTTTAGTGGAGCGATTTTGTGAATGTTACAGCAGCTGCATGCAGGACACAGCTGGGGTATTTGAGCCGTTACCGCTGAGTCCTCTCTGCCCCCAAAGCGGAGTCATAAATGACTAATATATGCAGATACTGGATCTTTTTTCAGGCTTCTGGCAATTTGAATTTTTAAGAAACGCATCTTGATTCTGGGTTTAAAAATGCATTGTAATTACCGCGTTACTGACAATTGTACCGAGTAAATATTACCAATTTGTTTCCTTGTAATGCCTTACATTACCACATTACAGCAAAAAGCAATGCATTACAGTACTTAATTACTTTTGTACCACGTTACTCCCAACACTGTTTATGAAGCTCTTCATTTGAATCAGGAGCTCATAAAAAGGCTGATCAGCTGTGGAGTCGCTCTTCTTTAGGTGGTTCATGATGAGATACAGGAGGCAAGAATGAGACAGCTACTAATAAGTTCCTGCTGCGCTCATAAACACACACACACACACACACACACACACACACACACACACACACACACACACACACACACACACACACACGGTTTGTGGGTGATGATAAAGAGCAGTAGGACTGAGGCCCATGGTTCTCTCTGACCCCTCCCAGGTGTCGTGCACCAATCAGGGCCTGACGGTGTTTGTTCAGAACCGCTCCTTCCACTGCTCCCGTAAGGGTCAGCTGCTGAGCGTCAGCGTCCGGGTCGGTAACTGGGTCTACAACGGAGTCCTCGTCTGCCCCGCCTGCTCCAACTTCTGCTCCAGCTGCCCCCTCCCCCACCAGATCCCCCCCATCAACACCACGAGGAGCAACCCCATTGGTCAGTGACCTCAGGCCTTAAGACTGTGTGTGTGTGTGTGTGTGTGTGTGTGTGTGTGTGTGTGTGTGTGTGTGTGTGTGTGTGTGTGTGTGTGTGTGTGTACTCTATAGAAAACACACTTTGATTGTTGTCTGTTTTAGATCCCTGCTCCAGTTCTCCTGGTCTGGCCATCACTCTGTGGCTCCTGCTGCTCAACCTGCTCCCTCTAGTGGCCGGACTGCTGCTCTGCCACTGCAGCTGATCACACACACACACACACACACACACACACACACACACACACACACACACACACACACACACACACACACACACACACACACACACACGGTAGCTAACCTCTCCTGTGTACTGTAGCTCTCTGCTTTCTTGTTCTTATTCACGTATCCTCAGGGCCGTTGCTCGTTCATTTCTTTGTAAAAATGTTCTTCAGCCCTTCCTGGTGAGACAGCCACACCCCTCGTTCTGTCAGAGGTCCTTTCAGGTGTGTATCAGTGTGTTTACATGCACTCCAATAACCAGACTACTGTGGCCTGATTCCTCCAGAACAAGGAAGTATATGTTCATGTATTTGATATTTGCTTTTATGCTAAATGAGGAGTTAGCATGGAGGCTATAGAGAACACTTGTCAGGGGTCACAGAAGCGAATTATCCTCCATGTTTGCACCCAGATGTTTCTAAAACCAGGAAAGCTTCAGTTAGCAACACGTGGCAGCTAAAGTCAGGAGGAAATGAGCACTGATCAGGAACCTTTGACCTGAGAAAACATCTTTTTATAACTTTGGTACATTTGAAGTCCCATTGGTCATCACACAGTGGAGACATTACATCTCTGCATCTGACCCATCCCCGTGGGGAGCGGTGAGCTGCAGCCTTGGCTGTTCTTAGGAACCTTTTGGTTGTTTAACCCCCAATCCAGCCCCTTCAAGCTGCGTGTCAAACGGAGGAGTTGGGTCCCATTGTTAAAGTCTTTGGTACGACCCGACCGGGATTTGAACCCCGATCTCCCCAGACGGACACTGATCCCAGATGGTGGTGATGATCAGACAAAAACAAAAGCCCTGTTGGATTGAAGGGTGATGAGTCGGCATTTAAGTAATAATAAGTGTTTTAATAAGTGAGTCTGATTTTTGTTGGTCTGGTTTTTCTGAGTAACTATGGCAACGTGGTGCATGTAAACATGGTGGATTCACTCGGACTTTGTACCGTTTGTGTTCGGAGAGCCTCCTGAAGCAGCTACGTGTTTCTTTAGCCGCGACGGAGCCGTCAGCAGCACGTCATAGCTGCTGATAGGAACCGCTGTGGTCAACAGAACCTTTTCCACCGGAGCCGTCAGTAGCGCGAGTCGGCCGCGTCTCAGGAGCAGCATGTTGAGGCCCTTATGCGCCGGTTCTATTTTCTACGCGCTACGCCTCTGAAACGGGTCAAGTTCGGCATTTTTGGTGAAGGAAAGACAGGAAATCGGATGTGGAAACGGAGCGAAGCTTCCCGAGATTTTCAGAATAAAGAAACGTACTGCCTTCCGGTTGCTTTACTTAAAAAAAAGTTATCACCGAGCTAGCGGTCTCCTGTGTTTTTCCATAATGGACGACGAACGGTTGATTACTGAAGTGGTTACTCCTGCTTGTTGTGTTTGCTGACGAAGTCACGCGTGATTTTGCTAATACCGCGTGACTTCGTGCTTTGTTGATGACAGCTGCTCCCCTGCTGCGTCGTGTCTCGTGGGAAGGGCCAAGCAGCAGCTTACATGAGCAAGACGTGCTGCTGACGGCTGTGGTGGAAAGGAGGGGTATTTCACATAATTGTTTAATATTTAATTTTAGGTTATTTATTTGTGTTTTATTTATGTTGTGGAGGCTCGCCATTTCTGATGAAGCCAAATCTGAGGAAAGACTCGAGAGATGACAAGATCTGATGTTTGTGTCACTCCCGCCAGAGGCTGTTTGTAAACGAACTTCTTCAGCTGGGAGGAAGGGTCATAATGGAGGAGGGTGTGGTGCCCTCTGGTGGTAGCTGGAGGTAAAGCTGACACAAACATGCAGAGTGGAAGGCGGAGCTGCCGAGCTGAAGTTTTAGATGTTTAAGCTCACTGACTCGGAGCTGACTTCACGACTGATTTAGGATAGACCTGTAGTGTTTCAGGTGTGAGGAACAGTGGGTCTGTGAGCTTCTGGACCCGAAAGGATCCTGGTCCGAGTCGGACCTGAGCAGGACCGAGTTTAACGGTGCGTCTCTCTAAACTAATGAAACCTTTAGGACAGATTTACTGTAAAATAGGAAATGAAGGAAGCTTTATTCTGCCTGCTGTTTTGTACATTTGTGCGTTAGCGTTTAAAACGCGGCCCAGTGGAGCACCGGTGTGATTCTGCGTCTGTTTAAAGGTTTTGTGGAGGCCAAAACGTGGTTCTGAATGTTTATTTAAGGTGGAACAAATGAAGCGGAGTGAGTTTGAGGCTGAAGCCACCGTCAGGAGGAGTTTTAGCTCTGATGTCAAAGTCATGATGTTTATGGGAGGATGGTGATGTCACAGGGGTTCGTTCCATTCCTTGTGAAAATTTCACCTCAGATCAAATTCTTCCCTCACAAGGATTTGGGTCTCCATGACGAATGAAACCTGCTACTGGGACGTCCAGAGGAACTCCATGGATCAGAAATGAGTTAGACGTTTGCACCACACCTACAGATCTGGCCGTAAAGCTTTAGGAGGTCTCTGACAGCAGCAGCCAGACGCAGCTGGGCTCTATTCTGTATGTTTAATGTTGTGTAAAATGTCCGAAAGCCGGTCACGTTGGGTCTGATGCAGTGAAGATCTGACCACCAGTTTTATTTCACACATCAAAGAGATTGTTGGGAAGAGCAGCCAAAACCCTCACACCCGTTCTCCTTTTTATGAATAGGGCTGCTTTTTAAGACAACTTGTAAAAAATAAATGTGTCGATCCTGAAGGTGCGTGTGTCGTCTCATTTCCTGTTGTGTGAAGGCTGCTGGAGAGGCGCCTGGAACCGAATCAGGTGCGATGTTTACCAAAGAGGATGCATCGCTGCTGTACAATAACACAGAGCAAATTCTGCATTTCCCAGTAAAAGTTGTAATGAGCTGCCCCGGATAGACTCCTGAATGGCTTCAGTTTGGAGAAACAGAGATGGCACATTACAGGACTGATGAGCTCCCAGTCCAAACCCCAACTAAGTTCAGACAGTTACTATTTGGTTTTGTCTCCTGATTTAAAAGCTCTTAAAGAACAAGTCACCCCCCTACAAGAATGCTAAATATTTTTATTTTAAACGAGATGCACAAAAGCACGCCCGTCTGCAGCAGGATGCTCTTTTACATGGTCGGATAAGCCCGTTTGAGTTCAGTGACAGCAGGAGGAAGTAGTACTCAGCTTGTTGCTGCTGCAGAACTGATGTCTGCTGGCTTTTGTAGTTTACAAACATCACGTTACAGGAAGATGAGGCCATTCCTAAAGATGGGGGAGATCTCCAGGACTTCCCACAGCCGACTTCTGACCTCCGTCACGTCTGTCCCACTGCAGCTGCGGTCTGCTTGGCTGTTTCTTTGATCCACAGGAATCCCACCTGGGTGCCAAAGTTGAGTCCGTCCCTGACATGGGAGAAGAAGTCATCGGGATGACAGGAGGTGCATTGAGAAACCCAGTTCTGGTCCTTCACCGAGTCATCATGGATGTGCTCCGGCAGGACGCCACCATTCTGGAGAAGAACTCTGGGAGCAGAGTGAAAGAAGGTACTTTTTCGTTGTTGCTCAGATCAGATCACCCTCATCCCGTGGATATTTTACTGCTCTGACTCTGACCTGTTGGCGAGACGGATGTCCACGTGCGGTTTGGGCGACTCTGGATCAGGGACACAGTCTGGATGGATGCTGAGGAAGTCCAGTGCCTGCTCTCTGGGCAGTGTGAAGCAACACACCCCCACCGCCGGTCCCACGGCCACCAAGATGTCGTTCATCCGACAGTCAAAGTTGGCCACCATGGCATTCACAGTGGCCATGGCAACCCCCATTAACGTCCCTTTCCAACCTGCAAATCAACCGTGATCACCATGAACAACCAGGGATGTAGAGAATATCAATACACCTGATTATTGTGATGGTTCCTGTTATGAGACTGAATCAATATTTAAAATCTATTTTTGACTTGATTTTGATTGAGAATTTACATCCAAACATTTACTGGATTTCCTTTCTGGTGCAGCGGAACCCCGACTGCAGCAGTTTTTAACGCCTTCGCCAGATTTCTGTTAACACACAAGCCTCTTGGAAGCTTCCGGCTTGAGATTCCCAAACAAATGTATCAATTGCAAATATCAATGATAAATAGAATATATTGTAATATATCGAGTCTTCTTGCCAGTACACACCCCTGATAACCACTAGACCTGAGCATGTGTGTAATTATACATTTACCTGGGGTTTGCTTGTAAGAATCAACAGTGTCAGCTGCCCACCATGATGCTTAAACGTCCCTGAATGCATCGTCTACCTGCATGAGCGGCTCCAATCACCCTCTTCACTGGATCAGCGAACAGGATTGGCATGCAGTCTGCGCCTGGTGCTGTCAAAACCAGCCCACTCTGGTTGGTCACCATGGAATCGTAGCTGTCCGGCTCAGCTTGTCCCAAAACCCAGACGTCACTCGCATGGTTCACCTGCAGAAAACGGATAACCTGCCAACCCGGGCTTTACTATAGAGTACATTTGCTTTTGCTGTGTTACAACCATCAAAGAACCTTAACAGACTGTAGAGGCAGAGGGTGGAAACCAGCGTGGAGGGCCAGCCGGCGTTTGTTCTCCATCACCACGGCAACGGGGTCCCTCCTCTTGCAGCTGCTGAACAGATTTAAGGAGGACAGGGTTGGGATGCAGGATACACCACCTGAACGAGTGGTGAAGCCGTGACCAAAGCAGTCTGAGACACAGAGGAGAGAGAAGTTCTTTCGATCATGCATGACATCATTCGGTCAGCTGTCACTGCAGCGAGTTACATACAGATACAATACATGCGTATTCACTGGCAGGACTAAGGGTGGGGGTCACAGGGTGCTGAAATCTGATTGGCCCCCATTTGTGCATCTGTCCTGTCCTCCTTTGAGCAATGATCTAGCAAGTCTTGCTAGGCCAGGCGCATGATGGATATTCTGATGGAAATTTCCAGATTAACAGTAAAAATTACACACTGTCAATTTAAAATACACAAATTTCAGATTCAAGAGTAAAAAAATAAATAAAAAAGACAAGCATGTCAGACTAATGCTTGGCCCCTCTGTACATAGTGTGCCCCCACTCAGAAAAATCTGTGCCCCCACTCAGAAAAATCCTAGCTCCGCCTCTGTTTTTATTTATTGAGACTTGAACCGACCTGGAATCAGTGATGACTTCAGAACTCGAATGTCTCCCTTTAATGCAGGAAGCTGCTGCAGAAACGTATACACCTCCTCCTGTACTGTTAGTCCAGGTGGGTTCAAGTGGGTGGAGCCTCTGCAGCTCGTACAGGTGAGCTGAACCACCTCATAATCAAACCTATAAACGGACGTAAAGAGCAGTTCCTGATACTGGCCCAGCTCCTCCCGACCCCGCGCAGTTGTGCAGACCCGGATGCAGGTCTGCTCCAGCAGGTCCAAATCCAGCTGGTCCACGGCCTGCTTGAAGCAGTAGAGACACTCCGCGATGGAGCCAGAGTCCAGCACCTGCACCCTGCTGTGTGACCTCTGGAGCGCCTTTGAAAAGCCGCTGATATCCCGGTGATTTCTCCCGCAGAGCAGAAACACGCACAAGCTCGACTCCCGCAGCAGAGAGGCGCCGGCGCACTCCGGGCAGCCGCCGTGCGCCAGATCCACCAGCACCACCATCCCGTTCAGATCCAAGTCCGGTCCGGAGCGGTCCGCTGCTCCTGCCTCTTGTAGAGCAGGTAGGTACGTGTTTGTCACATAGGCGAAAGAACAGAAACTACAGCTGAGAGGGCGCTTCCTTCATTGCGAGGCCACGCCCACTCTGGAAAGCCCGAACAGCCGGTGGAAGTTCTCTGCAGGACTTCCTGCTGCTTCTGCTGCACGGAAAGTTCAGCGTTCCAGAGCATGCACAAATATGCAGACATGCATGAGGAATGATGTGGAGCTGTTTTGGCCAAATACTGAAAATAAAATGTGCACTCTCTGACACCAGTGAGTGAAATCAAGCCTGTTGAAGTCCAGTGCAGGTTTTCAGAGGTTTAGGGGTTTGTGGACAAAAGGAAACGTTTTTATGTCATACAGCAGGATTATTTATTATTAGGATTATTTATGTGCCTCGTGACTGTGGGACGGTGTTACGTTGGAGTGTTTTCTGAAGTAGAAGTGAGAATCAGTGTTGTTTCACCATCTGTCTAATCAGGTCTAACACTAAATCTGAGGTTTTCTGTTCAGATGTTAGTTCAGAGATGAAGTTTGTCAGTGGTTTCTGGTTTGGAGAAGAACAAAAACCACTTCCCAGATTATAACCATGTCAGGTATGCAGCCTGACTCAGCCAACCCCTATGCACGTGCCTCCTGCAGCCTTCTGATGGGAATCTCTGAGAATGAGGAAACTTTGAGACAATAATGATGGGAATTACGGCTCTTTTTAGAGAGCCGGCTCTTTCGGCTCCCAAGTGGCTCCTCAGATTTTCTGTTGCGTAGAGTACATTTATAACCAAAATAATGCAAAACTATATGTAAAATGATTTACTAATGTAAAAAATGCAAAATATCAAATATTTATCATTTCTATGGATTTAATAACTGAACACTTTAAGAAATCTCCACTTTCCAACGGCTGGCGCTCATTTTCTCACCGTCTTCATCGCACTCTCCTCTCTCTCTCGCCTTTTTCCTCCTCCTCATTCCCTCTCATCTCCCTCCACCCACATGTGCTCTGCTGTGTGTCTGAGGCCCTGTCCACACGTAGCTGGGGATCTGCCAAAACGTAGATATTTTTCTACGTTTTGGCCTGTCATCCACACGAAAACGGAGTTTTTTCACACGAAAACGGATCTTTTTAAAAACTCCGGCCAAAGTGAAGATCTGAGTTTTCTCCGTTTTGGGTGTCTGCGTGTGGACAGACAAAACCGGAGTTTTAAGGTCCACAACGTCACTTTCCGCGACAAATAATGCTGACATCACGTGTGCGACCTGTGTTTACACTAGCCGACAGCATGGATGCCCTCAGAGCTGCGCTCTTAACAACGTATTTATCCGGGTACGTGTGGACATTTTTTTTAAACGAGGTGGTGTGGATGCAAGTTTTTGGAGGGGTGGATATTCGTTTAAAAAAAAAACCCGGCTACGTGTGTACTAGACCTGAGTCTGATCCTCCCTCTTCCCCTCCCCTACTGCTCTGTGTGTGGACAGTCTGGACACATGTTGACCAATCGCCTGTAGCTTTCACCAAAGCAGGGGGGGAGGGGGGAGGGGACGGCTCCCAATGACGAGCCGGCTCCCGTCGTTCACTTCAAAGAGCCGGCTCTTAGAGCCGGTTCGTTCACGATCGACACATCACTAGTGGGAATATCCCAGGCTGTTAGCTTCTAGAGCAGGAGTTTTGTTCAAGTTACACACAAGGAAAGTTTAAAAAAGTTTTCCCAGAAACATAAAATATGGGTGATTTGTAGCCGATTCACGAGGTTTCTCTAAAGGAACCCCACAGCTATGCGTTTGGATATTTTTCACTGATGACTTCACGATTCTGCACGTTTTATTCTAGAAGTTTTTCAAGTTGAAAATGAGTTAAAACACAGATCAGAAGAATTGAAATCCAAACGTGAGTCTTCCAATGTAATAAAGATGAGAGCTGTGATGTGTGTAGCGTCGCTCAAGGTCTGCATTTCATCAGATGTCCAAAAATTAGCTTTTCTCATACAGGCCATTCCTGTTCTAGATCACAAGATGCTTGTGAAGACACAAGACTTTTTAAATCTAGTGCCTTTAATAAAGTAATCTTTTCTGGCTCGTAAAATGACCTTCTAACTTTACAAGTTGTTACTGTCATTTCCTGTGGTGCCTACAATCTGTACTTAAATCTAAAGGGTTTAGTAATGTAAACGCTCTACAGTCATGAATAATGAGTTAACAAATGTTCATTCCTATAATTTATTCAAGTTCTTAAAGGGGCATTATGGAAGTTCGACAGCCAAAACATGTATAGAAATAATAAATTTCTTCTTCATACATTCTCGTGCAATGCCCTGGTCCTGTAGAATGAGCCCTGGCATTTTTACTGTGATTGCCTGTTTTTCTGTAAAATCACAGAAAAAGAGAGCTGCTCGGGTCGAGCAGGCTGCTTCATGCGCGTTCACGCCATCGACATAAATATATGGACAATGGGTTTCCATAGACTCCAATAACAAGTTTTTCTGCTAAAATGGGAGGTGGCCACCACCGCCATTTTGACCGTGTCACAGGTTCCGTCAAGCCCAGACAATTCCATAAAAGGGAAGAGAGGAGGAGCTGAGGGTGGGGCTGTAAGGCTGGGATTGATTGACGACACCTGGTCGAACTAGCTACAAGCTAACCTGAAGCTAACACAAAGCTAATGCGGAGGTGGGAGCTAAGCTAACGGAGGTAGCAACCTAGCTACAACCGGAGTTAACTGTGCACAACACCAGAGCTTCTGAGTCAGAGATACGCCGGGCTGACCGCTGGGTAAAACCGGGTGGAACACAGAGGTCTCCGAGAGCTCCACAAGCCGGCAGCCGCACAGCAGACAAGCGCCGCTGCGATCTGAGATGCGCAGAGCTGCCGCTGGGGAGAACCGGGAGGAAAGGTTTCCATCCCAGAGCTCCACAAGCCGGCAGCCGCACAGCACACAGAAGCCGCGATCAGACAGAGATGCGCCGAGCTGCGGGGAGAAGTGGCGTATTTTGGCGGTTCTGGCTTGCCATAAGAACCAGCCGTCAGCCCGCGCAGCACACAGAAGCCGCGATCAGACAGAGATGAACAGGTGTGTTCTGGGAATTTCTCCTACCCCGTAAACCGTCCTACCCGTTGTTCCTGAGCATGGGCGCGCATGCGCACAACACAAAAAGGAAATGCTACTCCGTTGTCATATTTGCAGGAAACTAGATAAGTAGTAAGTATTAGTAATTTTTATTGACGTTGATACTTGATTTTTTTTGGGGTTAGGGTTAGGGTTATGGTTAGAGTTTGTGTCATGTAAAACACAGTAAAATTAGCCTACGGGTAGGACATTTTGCCAAAGTAGGACGTTTTCTCAGAACACCGGGCTGCGGGGAGGGGATAAGGGTGGAAAACATCGGTCTCCCGAGAGCTCCACAAGCCGATAGTCGGAACCCAGCTCCACCAACATGTTATATTTCTACCCATTTTCTAAAGTGCAGCATTATGTTAAATGCACTGGGTTTTACCCTATTACATTTAAATTTCATGGTTAAACAGTACAAGTTAAAATCTAAGCTCAGCTTGGCAGTGACCTAAAATACATAAATATAATTTTACTTACCAAAATAAATGAAGTGGAGACTCCTTGGACGCTCTATTAGTGCAATTAATGCCACAGCAAGTCATTTTGTCCAACAATTGCACAAAAAATATCCAAACAAGAATACACAAACACAGAGACTCAAAATCCCGGAGCAGTTTCCAAGCCAGGCCGAGGTTCTACTGAGGCCTTTCCCCGGAGTTAGCTCTGTGGTCACGTGGGTCGGATGCTCATTAATTATACAGAATTTTAGGCTTTTAATACACTTAAACAGAAGAGTGAGAAAAAAATTCACCCCCCTCAGAGTTGTCATGAGTGTAAACTAGATAATTTAAACAAAAAACATGTTTTGGTACCAGGCTGTAAACATGTTTATTTCTGCTGTGAAATTGGTATTTTTAACATGGGAGTCAATGAGGATTTGCTCGCTTCTGACACCAGCCCCCAGTGGATGAGGGTGGAACTGCAATTTTTGGTACTTCCGGGATTGCTTCAATTTTTGAGCCGCATTGTAGGGGCCTGGTTCACGCTCAGGCATAGCCCGTAGCATTTGCTATCCGTAGCTTTAGCCGCAGAGAGTGAGGTAGTGCCAGCTCAGCGACTTTGTTGCTGTTCCGAACGCCTAGTGATGAACCTAACTACATTTCTGAGGACCCTTAGCTACTTTCTGTAGAACTTTCTTCTAGATATTTCCTGCAAATTAGCAACAAAATAGCCATTTTCGCTCCAAACCGTTCTTTGGTTTGATGTTGTTTCAGCTGTCATCAAGGATATAAAAGTTACAGATACTGTGTATGTTACTAGAGTGTAGCTCACCTTGTAAGATGTCGGACTCTCGTGCAGAAGACCTGGGTTTTATTCTGGGTGTGAACATAGTTCATTTAGAGTTTCTTTTTTTACATTAATGGTATATTTTTTTACAGTAAGATGCCCAAATTTTTATTTGAGACTCGCCGAACGGCATTGAATTCACAGATAAAAAAGATGTGGGTTCAACTTTCATTTTGTAACAATTTTTCAAGCAAGGGAAGGGAATGATCTGAGCATGCAGGAGGACTGAGCCATCATAAACCTTTGTCGGCTGTGCTGAAGAGAAAGGTACAGAACCAAATAATTTAATTAATTAGCTGTGCGTTCTCCTGTCCTCTGTCCTCCAGGCCACACACACATACACACACACACAGGACTGTCTCAGCTGTTATTTTCGTTAAGGAGTGTGCACGTACAGCATGCGCGCCTCGTGCACGAGCCTACTATTGAAGCTGCCGTTACGCTATTGGCCTGAGGGGGCAATCGCGAGCATAAAAATTCAAAAGTCCAAAAAGTCCCTTTAAACGACACCAGATTAGTCTGTTTGTTGAACTTAACAATGATTTGTTTATCAGTATATTCACACATAATATTGTTATGAATATTTGACCTTTTTACCCCACAATAAAGCAGCTTTCTGGAGTTTTCCCCTTTCAGAAATTATGTAAGATTTTTCAGAAATCTGTAAAAGTGATTGTCGTATCATGTACTGTGATCAAATAAGCAATATGTCTT